AATTTCAAAAGCTGTGCTCCCCCTATTTAGAAAATAAAGGGGGAAAAGAGGTAAAGTGAAGCCACATAAAACTATTAAGACATATAAAATATTGTTTACTTTCGAGTCTTTAAAATACCACTGAGCTAGTTTTTTTAAGATTCACCTTTGTATTATTTGCTTCAGGAAAACTACTGGAATAATAAATTAATCACTTTATGTTATACATAAGGAACCTACTGCTATGTTAACAATTTACAGGGCTATTTTTGGGCAGGAACGCATAGGAACGGAGTTCTGGCTGGCTCCAAAGTTGGCCACGCCCAGCAGGAACTCATTAGCATAATAGGCCACACTCAACAGCAGAAACTCATTAGGATTGGCTACAATCGGGTGTGTGGCCTAACATGCAAAAAGCCCTGGGTTTTGACAACAAACAAGGTAAAGAGAATAAGAAGCAATAGGTGGGTGTGGCTGGATGACCACACTTCTGGTAACGTGGGGGTGTGGCCTAATATGCAAATGACCTGTGTTGTCAGGGTGTGGCCTAATATCCTAATGAGTTCCTGCTGTTGGGTATGGCCTATTATGCTAATGAGTTCCTGCTGGGCTTTTTCTACAAAAAAAGCCCTATTTACATTATTTCCTTATTTTCTGTGTACTTGTGGAGTACATTGGGGTGATCCATAGGTTGTCAGGGATGTCCTGGGCAAAGGGGCATTCTGTCCCCTGTAAGCAACTGGGCCAACTTGCTCTGAGGTCCCATTTACATATGATATTTATTATATGCAGTTCTGTTTTCACAGGGCATTTGCTTTCATTTGTAATTTATATTACATTAAACTAATGTGTTCACACTTTCTACCTCATTTCAAAAATTCTGTAATAAATCCGCATGCTGTTTTTTCTCCTTTGGCAACTGTAGAGGTTGCATTATACTTATGTGGGATATGGCTTTTAATGAAAACATGGACCGTACCGCCCCCATACAGGAACGTTTGAAGCTCTCCTGTAGCTGAAGGAACCTTCCTCTGATGGAATAATTCCTTCTCTGGTTAAAAAAAACCCCACTTAGAAGTCGGAGAAAGACTCCTCAGACCAGAGGAAAGCTTCAAATTTTGCTGAGTGGAATGGTAGGATGTGTCCAAAGGATGCCAGCCTCCAAGTAGGGCCTGGAGTTCTCCCAGAATTACAGCTGATCTTACTCTTAGCACTCCACAATTAATAGGGCTGCTAGGTCTTGCCTAGCTGCCAGAAGAGTGCTCCTGCCCGGTCCTGGCATCTTCTGGCACCCGTGCTATGTGATGTCATCGTGCCAGCCATGTCATGCAGGGGATGCTCTAGCATTTGGGCAAAAAAATCCTCTATGGTCACCATAGAGTTTTAACCCAGATGCTAGAGCGTCCCCTGCATGATGTCACTTCCAGGTGATGTTACTCACCAGGCACATTGGATGTAACAGTGCTCTTCGGGATGGGGCTCCCCTGCCGGCCAGCTGGCCATTGGCGGATTGGGGGGCCCAAAAGCAGGGGAAACCCCATCCCCATTGGGGGGATGACAACAATTTAGAATGACACATTTATACATCATAGAGCCACCCCTTGTCATACTACTGATGTATCAAGCTCAATACTGTCTGGTGCAACTGGCAGCAGCTCTCCAGAGTCTTAGGTAGAGGTCTTTTACATCACCTACTACTTCAACCTTTTAACTAGATATTGCAGTGATTCTTCTTCATTCAGTATGTGCTGTACCACTGAGTGCTTAAAAATGTGTGAGCCATAGAAATGGCAGTGGACACACCCATCTGCTCATGTTTCATTGTACAGGACTTCATCTAACGATGGGTTTATTTCCTTAATCTAGAAAGCTCCACTTTGGCATCACTTTCTGGGCTGGGGTGTGGGACTAAAACTGTTTCAAAAGTGGCGCAGCAGAAAGAAGATCTCTGGACCAGCTGCCCTGACCACAACCACCTGACCGCATTTAGGGTATCAATATTGGCCCTGCCTTTCTACTCCAGCTGTATCCCAGGAAGGGATGCATGCACTCTCCCTGAATTAATATAGTTGTGGAATTTCTCCATTGTCATCATGCAACCACCGATTCTTCAGCCCTGAAGAAATTAAGTAGGGAAGAGCTTTACAGGCCTCAGCTTGATCAGGCCCCTCCTACATTTTAGGACATAGATATGCAGTGAAAAAGACTCTTCACAATTCTCACATATTTCTTTTTCCCATCAGGCATGCAGAAAAAGATGTCATAGGTGAATTAATCTTAAAGACTTGGTTTATGTTCTGAGGAACTGGGAAGAAACTGTTCCCCCAAATCTCTGCAGCTAATGAGGGTTCTAATTTCTGCCATATTGTGCGGCACAACTTGATTCCAGAATCCCTTTAGGTTTTATTAAATATGTTCCTTTCTCTACAGGCATAGCAAATGGGGTTTCTCTTTGCTTGTGGTTGATCTGTATAACATGGATATTCTTTTAATATTACTTACAAAAGAAGGACCTATCACCAGTTCTGAGAACTGGACCAGAAAATTCAATTCCCTTTCAACCATATAATTATGTAATATACTTGAAAAAAATCCCATTTAATATATTTAACATGAAAAAGAGATCTAAGATTTCTTCTTTCTCCAATCCACTCTCCAAAATCAGAGCACTGCACTGAAAAAAATCCTACTCATTTTATAATTGCACGTGATTTCACAGTAGAGTTATGTCTTTTGAAAGCGATCCATATTGCAAGTATATGCATAATCATGGGAGAAACAACAAGGATACGAAACACTTTCACAGTGTAACACTGAAACGGGTCCCCAGATGCACCAGCTGTTTGTTTTGTTCTCATCTGCAAATGTAAGCAATTGATTCCCATTGACGTTTTAACATCGCTTTTCCGGCCCTTTGAAAAAATGGTTGCATGTCTTGAGCTGTACTACAATGCATGCCTTAGACACATTGGACTGGGATTCTCTGATTACATTCTAGGTAACATACAAACTCCCAAAGTTCAAAGTTCTTAATAACGAATTTAAAAAAACTTTGCCCCACTAGATGTACTATTTGATTGATCTCCACGGATAATTGAGAGATGGTCCCAGAGTCCTGCTGAATCGTGTCATTCAGAATCTACAAAGGAGGGTGTATGGAGGAGGGCATGTCATTGACTGTCACGTGTTTTTGTTTGCTTCCTGACACAATAGGGGAGGTGGAAAGTGCAGTCAGGTTGTAGGTGATTTGAGGCAACCCCGTAGGGTTTTCAAGGCAAGAGACATTCAGAGGTGCTTTTCCTTCCTCTGTGTACAGACCCTGGACTTCCTTGGTGGTCTCCCATCCAAATACTAACCAGAGCTGACCCTGCTTAGCTTCCAAGATCTGATGAGATCAGGTGAGCCTGGGCCATCCAGGTCAGTGCGCTGCTGACAAAATAGCACAACCTTTTTTAGAAACCCTCTGCACATTCATATAGAGCAATGGGAGGAGGAACCAACGCTTGTTTGGAGTGGGGAAATAGTATCTTAACCAATGCAGAAAATGTTCCTGATTAAGAAAAACTGCTCACACTTAAAACATCATTAACCAGGTGTAATGTACCATGATCCGACCGCGTGGTCAGCTTGGGCACCACGTGGTCAAGCGCAAGCGTCGAGCTTCGCTCCGACAGACAAAGGACGATGCGGCTCCTAGCTGCACCAATCAGAGGCTAGGCTTCAGGCCGAGAGCATGTGGGACTCTCGGACACTAGTTTGGACCTATTGGGAAGCGGGGGGGTGTTATGGGTGGTGAATTCACGGGGATATAAGCCAGCCTGCAAGCCGGCTAAAGTTGTTCTTCACTAAATAAAGTACGCTAAGCTGAAATCACTCGTCCGTCTGCATACTTTTCACCAGGCCAGGGAGAAAGGGGGGAGTTTCCCTGTGCAAGAATAGAGACCCAAAGCTGATGACAGTGGGGGGAGAATGTCCAGTGCTGAAATGGAGCCAAAATTGGAAGAAATTCATAGTTGCAGTTGGGTTTCCAATGCAGAAATAGAGCCCCAAGTGGAAGCGTTTCAGGAACAAGTCAATGGAGGGGGAAGAGAGCTTTACACCACAGAAACAGAGCCCCCAAAAGAAAAGAAATTCATAATGTAAAGTGATGCACAACAGTGGGGGGAGATGTCATATGCTCAAATGGAGTCCAAAATTAGGAAGAAATTCATAAACCAGGTGCTTGGAAGGGATCTTTCTACCACAGAAACAGGACACCCAAATGGGTAGAAATTCACCATGGAGGAGTTTTCCGCTGCAGAAATAGCGCCCCAAAATGAGAAGGAAACCCTTGGTGTTAAAGCAGCCATGGGGAAAATACAACTCCCACGCTCCTTTGCTATGTCATTCATTCATAGAAACGGGACACATGTGTGACCACCCAGCAAATTCCATCTAGTGGCTCCACACTCACTCAATCCAATCATCAAACAATCCCTGTAATATTTGCAATTTGTGATTATGACACGAGCTGACCCCCAACGATTTTAGACATCCCTACACAGGACTGGTTAGGTGGCTGACTCAAGCCAGCTGCTTATCAGCTGTTACAGCCACAGGAATTCAGAGAGGGTGCACCCTCAGTGCTGGACATCAGCTGAATTCTAACCACAGCACAGCATGGCAGGAAGGAGGACACTCAGACTTCCTTGGCAATGGATTTCTGCAGGAGACAAAAGGCAGTTGCACCAAGTTTAGAGGCAGTGTAGGGCTGTCCTCAAGCTAGCAGGACTTATTGGAGTGCCCAGACGCACCTACTTGAACCCATATATTCTGTATGCATTTCAGACTGTGCAGACAATTATTAACTGATCTCCAATACACATAGCAATAGTAGGTTTATTTGCAATTATACTAGAAATGTTGTAGCTGCTGGAAGGACTGGATGTTATTGTTTGACATGATGATAGACACGTATAAGTCAAAATAGCACTCGGAAGGAGGGTAATTGCATTTGTGGCATTTGAGGGAATAGGAAATACCTTCGTTTTATCATATAGAGCATGATTATCCAGCAGCATTTTCTTTTCATGGGTGGCATACCTCCGCAAGTCACGTTCAAATTGCTGCAGACACATAAAAGTCTCAGTGTTAGTCTAACAAACCAAAATGAATATATTAAGTTCAAACCTGCTTAAAGGATGCTCTTTAAGAAGACTCGGTATTTTCAGTTGCAAGTAAAAATTCCGTCATAGCATCCGACTGAACACAGACCTACATCAAACACACACACAACGCTTAGGCTCAAAATTGGTGCATGCAAAAAAAAAAAAGTGGATTTGGAAACACGAGTAAGACAGACCTCATTAAGTTGGTCTTTAAAAATGGGGAAACACAGTCACCATTTACAAAGAAGTCTGTCAGGTTCCCCTTGCTGTAGAGATAACATTAAGAAATATGAACGTATGATCATACATTACCCTCTTCCCTGTAATGAATGTAGCCTGCAGTTCATGCGAGTGCCTTAATGGATGCTCACCCAGAGGGACTGTCTTTTGACATGCAATACTATATCACATTAGCTTTGTCTGATACTAAGGGCCTCACTGATTGTTGTAGTTTTATAAGAGGAGATGGTTTAATTTAAACACATACTGGACTCCATTTGCTTGTGACTCACACAATTTGTCTGAGTCAAAACCTGAGGTGTTTGCACTTTTTCAGTGAGCACAAAAGTTTGCAAAGTGCTTAGTGGTACCTGCCTGAAGGCATTTAAAAGCCACTGCCAAGGAAACACACTTCATATAGTGTTTGTTAGGGCTTAATCTACACTTCCTATTGTATTTGGAAAGGAACACACACACACACACACAGAGTTCTCCCCTTCTTGACTACAATTTAGCCACACATTGATTAAAGAGCCTTAGAAGCCAGGAATGCAGTTCTAAAAGGTTCAAGGATGTTGTTTTCTTAAAGCGTCTATTCTCTTGGAAGTTTTTAAACAAAGCTAGCTTTCATTTTTTTAAAAAGGTAGCAGTATGTTTCTAGCTCTCATCATTTCATGCTTATTATGAACCGAAGAGCAGAAGTACTTTGCATGTGATTCCCATTAGGGATGTAAAACAATTTTTCGTGTGCCTTGGTTTGAATTAAAACATGCTGTTGCAAATGCATTCTTTTAAGCTACAGAACTGATTCTCAACTATTGAACATGTCTGACTGTCATATTCAAAGTTCAAGAGAAAGACAGACATCTGCTTTTCACTCTTTTGATATTTAAAATGGATCATTTACTCTGTTCTATTCTGGCCATCTGATTTCTTGTTAACATTCCTTTATTGTCTTTGTTTCTTTATGTCCTGGGTGGTGGTCTCCTGCTGGCTGTTTTTTGCCAATTAACTGACAAGGGTGAATCTTTGTTTCTTGTTTATCAAGAGCATTTTAAAATTTTAAGACAGCAGGATTTTAATACCAGGATTGTACTGTAATTTGAAAAGGCTCTTTGAAGTATAAATGTCTTTAACAGGCACTGGAAGGTCTGCAGAAACAGAAGACAAAAGCAGCCCATGAGGGAGGCATTCAAGAGCTTAGAATGTAAGAAAGAGAAGCGATGTTGGATCAGGCCAATGGCCCATCCAGTCCAACACTCTGTGTCACATAGTGTCCAAAACCCAGGTGCCATCAGGAGGTCCACCAGTGGAGCCAGAACTCCAGAGTCCTTCCCATTGTTGCCCCTCCCCCAAGCACCAAGAATACAGAGCATCTACATGTTGTGGCTAATAGCCACTGATGGACAAATATTTTTGTCAGGAGATCCACAAGTTCACACTTGCAGCAGTTGCCAAGAAGACTCTAGTGCTGTTTGCCAGTGTACCTGTGAAACAAGTAGCTCAGATGATCTCAGGGTACACACAGCTCTATATATGAATGAAAGTGCTCCCTCAGGTACTTTGGGCCCAAATCGTTTAGGGCTTTAAAGGTCTACTCCAGTCTCTGTAAAGTCCAGAAACAAACTGGGAACCAGAGTAGTTGGTATAAGATTATTCAAGCTGCTGCTGCCATTCTGACTGCTATATTTTGACACACACACGCACACACCGGAGTTCTCTGGACTACTTTAAAGGTAGCCTCCTGTGGCACGTGTTGAACATGTCCAATCTAAATGTTTCAAGGCCTTTGAGACTGGCCAGGTCCACCATCTCCAGGAACGGCTACATTTTGTGTACCAATCTAAGGTGACAAAAGCACTTCTAGCTATCTCCATCTGCTTACGGAGGTGGTCATTGTGAAAGCCAGGAGCACTCCCAGAGTGTAAGCTTGTTGTTTTAAGGGGAATACAACCTACCCAGCTGGTTGAATACCTGCTCCTGGATCTGTTTATCCTCAAAACCCCAACACTTCTGTTTTGCCTGGATTAAGTTTCAGTTTGTTCATTCTCATTGTCCTTAACTGTCTCCAGATGCCCGTTAAGTGCACACAGTGGAGTTTGATGAACGGAAAAGAGAGAGCCGAGAGTCATCTGCATACTGGTGATAACTCACGCCAAAGCCCCAGATAAACTCCTCTAGGTATTTCATGAAGATAGTTTCAGGTGGTAGCTATAGAACACATTTAGAGTCCAGTGGCACCTTTAAGACCAACAAAGGTTTATTCAAGGAATGAGCTTTCGTGTGCATGCACACTTTTTCAAATGCATTCCCAGAATTAGAAAAGATCCCCTTATACATTTATCTCCTATTTTGACATACTTATTGTGTTGTTGTTTTCCCCCTTAATTAAATCAAAACAACTGTTGACCTTATAAACTTAGCTTGTTATTTAGTTCTGTCTTCACATATCTTAAAATATCTTCATCATGTTACATGTTAATTTGCTTTTCAGCCTCTGTCTATAAGTTTGAACTTTTTTTTGCCATTCTATGTATTTGATAAAGTGTGCGTGCACACAAAAGCTCATACCTTGAATAAACCTTTGTTGGCCTTAAAGGTGCCACTGGACTCTAAATTTGTTTTACTGGAATGAAAGGTAAGAGTGCAAACTTATAGACAGAGGCTGAACAGCAAATTAACATGTAACATGATGAAGATGTTTTAAGATATGCGAAGACAAAACTAAACAACCTAGGGTTATAAGGTCAACAGTTGTTTTGATTTAATTAAGGGGGAAAACAATAAAGCAATAAATATATCAAAATAGGAGATAAATGTGTAAAGGGATCTTTTCTAATTGTGGGAAATAAACTGAGAGTAGCCGTGTTGGTCTGTAGCAGAACAACTAGATTTGAGCCTTTCTGACGAAGGGAGCTTTGGTCCCTGCCACACGGCAGGGAATTAGGTGCTAGTACCGCGGCTAAAGTGAGCCGCGGCAAAGTTGGGACGGCGCGGCGGGATCTCACAGATCCCCCGAGCTGCGTCGCAACGCTCCCCAGCATGATCAGATGCCGGGGAGAACGCAGCGGTGGGAAGGGGAGCCTGGCGAACTGCGCATGCTCACACATGCGCAGTTCGGCCAGGAGCCGGGGATGCGCCGGCGCAAGGACGCGCCGGCGATCCCACGGCCAGCGTTGCTGCGGCCCTTCGGAAAGAACCACCTCGGGAGGTGGTTCTTTTTCGCCGCGGAGCAACGCTGGAAGGGACGGAACCGGGACGGATCCGGCACGCTCCCCAGATGTTGAGGTGGGATCGTGCCGGTTTGCTCCGCCCCTGTTCCGTCCCGCTTCCGGACCAAATGGGCTCGTATGAACAGGGCCTTTGACTCTCAAAAGTTTATATCTCCCAAATCTTGTTGGTCTCTAAGGTGCTACTGGACTCAAATCTAGTTGTTCTAGTGATTTCATGTACATCTCATACAGAATGGGAACAAAACAGAGCTTCAGGCAGCCAAGGGACAGGACTAGGATTGCCAAATTGTTTTCAGCCGGGAGCGGGGGGCTCCCGGTTGGCGTCCGGGGTGTGCGCGTCACCCGGATGTGACGTCGCACGCTGGGGGCGGGGCCACGGCCATTTGAGGGGAAAACTCTCGTGGGTGTTGGGTTTCCCCCGGGCCCGATTTTTGTCGCGTCAAAAATCGGGCCGTCAAAGCGGGGGATTCCCCGCCCCCCGGCCCCATTTGGCAACCCTAGACAAGACCAAGGTACCTTTGCTGTATCTTCTGCAACCTACACTCCAGGAAGGACTGAAATCACTCCAGCATAATGCCCACTCCCCCCAGTGGCAACTGAGATTTTTTTACTGAATCTGGTTAGCATTTCAAATCTCTCTTCCAATGCAAGGAACACCTCTTTTGAAGAACAGAGTATTCTGCTTTGCTAAGATGTCATGTGGCAATGTAAATGTCTTGGTGAAAGAAAAATGCTCTCCCCATCTGCCAATCACCCACGGAACACAGCCTCCAGTTCCAGTCAGAGACAATTCACAACAGCCGTACCTGCTGATCAAAAATTAATCAGGCCATTTTGATCAATTCAAAACCTGGCTGGGACATAAAAGTCAGCCAAGATGATGTCAACAAGAAGGTACCAAAAAGCAACTGACAATTAAACTAGGGTAATTTATAAAATGAAAGAAAAGAAGAAAAGAAAAAGTGGCATGGAAGTTCTGGTTCCGGGTGGAAAACAGACTTTGCATGGCAAAAGCAACATCAGTTCACAGTGAGCACAGGAGAAGAGACAGAAACTGCATGGCTGGAAGAAAAACCTGCTTTGCCATCTGATGAAGAGAGCTTACTTACTCTTGAAAGTTATACCCTGAAAATCTCAGCCCACTTACACCTTGGGGGCGGGTGGTGTTCAGTTCAAGCACAGAGAGCATTTTTTAGACACTTCTTATAAAGGAGCACATTTAATGGATTAAAAGATTGATCTGAATTGATTAAAAATACAAGGCTTAAGCTAATGGCTAAAAAAACAACTTTTTTAAAGCATAAACTAAAAGTATAATCTGAATCTTGATTTTTTTGGAAAATACTCTGGAAGGGACAAACCAGGGTTACTCAAACTGAAAGAACCAAAAACATTCAGGCGTCTCTATGCTCCAGTGGCCCTTTTTGTACTGTCTTTGCTGAAATGTTCAATCAAACTTTATTATGGCCCACAAACCTTGCACACAATGGTGGTGGTGGTCAAGTCATAGCCAGCTTATGGCGATCCCATAGGATTTCCAAGGAAAGAGACTTCAGAGGTGGTTGGGCTCTTTTTATAGCAGGAACTCCTTTGCATACTAGGCGACACACCCCTAATGTAGCCAATCCTCCAAGAGTTTACAGTAGCCCCTGTAAGAAGAGCTCTGTAAGCTCTTGGAGGATTGGCTACATTAGGGATGTGATGCCTCATATGCAAAGGAGTTCCTGCTACAAAAAGAGCCCTGTAAAGCAACCCTGGATTTCCTTGGTAGTTTCCCATCCAAGTACTAAACGAGGCTGGCCCTCCTCAGCTTCTGAGATCTGACATGATGCAGCTAGCTGGCTAGCCATCAAAAAGGCAGCCAAACTCTTAAAACTGCAAACCACTCTCACCTATATTGTCCAGTTGTGGAGTTCAAGGAGGGTTAGATGGGGAGATGCTGGAAGGATTTAAACACACACACACACACACACACAATCTATTTCTTGGGGAAAGATGGCCACAGCTTATTTATTAGGAACAACAAAGGAGCAATGGTACAGCATGGGAATGGATCCAGAAGACAAAGGGGGCCAGGGCGGGCCTTCCCATATAGCCCCCGCAGGCCCTACCCCTGCACCCATGCTGTGACTCATGGCCTGCTAAGGCAGCCTGCAGAGAACCGCCCTGCCCCGCTCGAAGGCACAATGTAGCTGAGCCTGCCTCCTTCCAGTTTGGTGTAGTGGTTAACTGCACGGACTCTAATCTGGGCGAACCGGGTTTGATTACCCACTCCTCCACTTGCACCTGGCTGGATGACCTTGGGCAAGCAGTTCTGATAAGAGCTGTCCTTGAAAAAGGGCAGTTTCTGTCAAGAGCTCTCTCAGCCCCACCTACCTCACAGGGTGTCTGTTGTGGGGAGGGGAAGGGAAAGGAGTTTGTAAGCCGCTCTGAGACACCTTTGGGTAGTGAAGGGCGGGGTATAAATCCAATCTCTCTTCTTCTTCTTCTTCTTCCAGCCTCCACTACCTCCTGCCCTGCAACTGCTGGTGCAAGTAAATCTTGGCCGCGCTTGGGAAAATGTTTCAAATATTTCTACAGAATCTGACTGTGTGAAAGGTTCTTAATTTATTCTGACTCTAATTTCACTACGCAGAGGCCCCGGGCACACGGGCCGGCTGAAACGTGGCTACTCAGCTGTTCTTGAAAAAGAGCAGTTTCTGTCAAGAGCTCTCTCAGCCCCACCTACCTCACAGGGTGTCTGTTGTGGGGAGGGGAAGGGAAAGGAGTTTGTAAGCCGCTCTGAGACACCTTTGGGTAGTGAAGGGCGGGGTATAAATCCAATCTCCTCCTCCTCCTCCTCCTCCTCCTCCTCCTCCTCCTTCTTCTTCTTCCAGCCTCCACCACCTCCTGCCCTGCAACTGCTGGCGCAAGTAAATCTTGGCCGCACTTGAGAAAATGTTTCAAATATTTCTACAGAACCTGACTGTGTGAAAGGTTCTTAATTTATTCTGACTCTAATTTCACTACGCAGAGTTAGGTTTGTTTTGTTTTGTTTTTTACAATGTAGAACATACAATACAGCCTAGTAACAGATACAGCTTTGTTTCAGGATTAGAGAGATGGAGGTTCAAATTACTTTTACGTTTTTAAGATCACTATTTATCAGCCTGTTGTAAAGATAAAAATAGTAGTCTAAACTCCTTGGAAGGAGCATGAAATATAAATAATGGAGAGAGGAAAAACAATAGCAAAAAACGAGAAATACTTTTCAGAACTAGGGTTCTCCCGGCTATCTTGCATTATCAAAATTAAATTAGGATTATGTGCCATTACTTACCCTGGATCCACTCCATCCTAACAGAGCAAATGGATACTGTTCAAAGGGGCTTACAACCAGATCCACTCGGATTGCTTTCCAGTCTTTCACTTCTTCCTCAGCTGAATCCTCTGAAACAACAGAACTGCGGCAATCCACTCTTTCTTTGTGTAACTTTAAAACTGCAAAACATTTCTGAAAATGATCTAAAGCATCAACTTTTCTGCTTGGCAGCTTTGTCTTTTCGAATGTCGATTCAATAATGTCATAGTATAAGAGCAATCCCTAGAAAGAACAAACAATTCACTGTTAATTACTTCAATTAACTCCCAATCTAACACATATATCTCACTTTTTCAGCAATGGTTTAGGAACTGGCAACTTGAGGTGAAGACTAATTAGTTTAGACATTACAGTCGGCCTTGACAATGATTCATGTGTTACCAAAGTAGCAAAGCAGCCCTTTTTCTGTAGGTGGAACCCAGATCATTCCAATAATATTTGTGATGGGGATCCAAATGAGTCAGAATGAATGACATGGTGCGTTCTTATACTGTCATCTCCATACCCTAGGTGATGGCAATGTTGGTGAAGGAAGGAATAAGACATCTATGGAGCTCCAGATGTTATTGAAACAGAATGGAATCAAGCCATGCGGATGCTACTCCAGTATTCTGTGAATTGGTCCTTTAAAAACCCAAGGAGAAAAAAATCTTCACTCAGTACAAACTGATGGAATACCTTATGGGGTGATTTATTCCAGGACTCATCTGCACTTTGCTGAGTAGTAAATTTCAGCAGATCTCAGAAGCTAAGCAGGATCAACCCTGGCTACTATTTGGATGAGAGACCTCCAAGGAATACCAGGGTCGTGACACAAGGGACAGGCAATGGCAAACCACCTCTCAGTGTCTCAGAATTGCCATAAGACAGCTATGACTTGATGGCAAAAAAAACAACCCCGTAACAATGCCTCTATTTTGCTCCTCATGCTTAAGGTGGGGCTGAGATCTAATGCAGGGTTAACGGCAGCCTACTTTTGTCTAACTAGAGGACCGCAATATACACTCATCAGCCATTCTGTCAAGTCAAAATTAATGTCAAGCTGTTCAAGTTACAGAACACCTCGGCCAGGTAAGTTTTAATACTCCTGTTCTGTTCATGAGTTGCTTTCCCCAGTGCTGGCTGGCTGTTTGCTGGAGCAGGAGGCCCAGGGACTGGGAATTTCCTTGGTCAGAGTGAGGACCGCCTTGGAGCGAAGCTTACCTTCCACTGGGTGAGGCTGATGAGAGCCCGGCACAAACTTAGCCCCTCTTGCCTTTCTGCCTGGGTTCATTCCCCTCTGGATCGCATTCCCCTCTGGATGGCTTCCCTTAAGCAAGAATGTGGGAGTGTTCCCCGCACTGTCAATAGTGGCACTGCATCATATCCAGCCCACCCATACTTCTGGTTGGGCCGGAAAGATCAGGGCCTGCTGCCTAGGTCCCAAAGGGCCACTGCCCCACAGCCTCTATGATAACAGTTGTTGCCCTGCAAGGCACTTAATGTGCTCTTATGGACTGTATAAGTCCTAAGTAATAAAATGGACTGTGCCAACATATGCTTAAGGGACTGTACTGCATGGTGACCCAATGTGATGCCAGTTGAGAAGGCACACCTAAGAGAAGAAAGTCTTCCTTTGCGTTGCTGTTCCAGTTGTTTCTTCAAGGTTACCTGCCCTCTTACCTGCTGTGAGACGTACCAGTTCCCTAGCTGCATGGAGGAGTCGAACGCCATGCCATGACACAAGGACAAAGAGCTCCAAACGCCATGAGGAGCTCCCTCTGTCACACGCAGGCAACCCCCCCCTACCTGCAAGACTGCACAGTAACTGAAAGGTTCTACACACGGTTGCTTGGAAACTAATCTCTCGCCCATCAACAGGCTAAGCCCATCAAGAAACAATAGCCCTAGCTCAGTGACTCATACCTCTTCATCCAGGTGCCACTCTTCAGTCTAAATTGCTAGCTCTCAATATTGACCACTCCCTTATTCCCCACCCCTTGTTCCCTGTATCCAATAGTGTGTGTTTTGGGATGGACAATTAGGAGGTGGGCCAAGACATGTGACCAGCCTGGCACAACCCCCAAGCCCCCCCCCCCTTGAAAGGGACACCCAGCCATGTGCTCGCTCTCTTACACTCTTGCTCTTACTCCCTCTTTACACCCCCTCCACAACCTCTATATCCGCTGACTCTTATCTTTGGCTACCTTGCCATCCACCCTACCCCAAGGCTCTGGGACTGCAGCCAGAGACTTTCCACATGTGTCTGCCGGTCCAGTCACATGATTCCCATTTCCTTAGCTTAAACCCCCATTTCCTTACAGTTCCCTTATTTTCCCACTTGGAAGCTTCATCTCTTTGGACAGGTAAAGTATCTCTCTTTATTTTCCTACAAGCTGTGTAATTGTGTGTGCATATGTGTATTGTTTGAATGTGGAAAAGAATACAGTAAAGACATCGTTTTAAACTTCAGCCTTCATGTCTATTACTGATATCTCCCGGAAGAAGTGGAACCTCTGTATACACTGGTGATTGCTCCCTATTGCCTATTGCTATTCTATAAATCATAAATCCCCAATATTGATAAGAACATGAATCAGGCTAACACAGACAGTTGCTTTCTAGATCAGTTTTGCAGGACAGAATTTGAGGACAATGCAAGCAGTGTTCTTGTAGATGGATTCAATACAGAAGATGGTACTGGGAATCTGTTAATCTGCCCCATAATGAGCCAGTTTGGTGTAGTGGTTAAGAACCGGGCTTGATTCCCCACTCCCCCACTTGCACCTGGCTGGATGACCTTGGGCAAGCCATAGTTCTGTCAGAGCTGTTCTTGAAAAAGAGCAGTTTCTGTCAAGAGCTCTCTCAGCCCCACCTACCTCACAGGGTGTCTGTTGTGGGGAAGGGAAGGGAAAGGAGTTTGTAAGCCGCTCTGAGACACCTTTGGGTAGTGAAGGGCGGGGTATAAATCCAATCTCTTCTCTTCTTCTTCTATATCATGGGGTTCCATGTGGCTGTATCTTATCCCCCCATTAGGGCTGACAGGCTTCCTGCTATGGTGGGAAACCTCCCTTCAGCAACAGCAGCTGCATCACTACATCGCTTCCAGGGAAATCCCAGAAGTGACAGCAGGCAGCTCAAGAAATTATTGGAAACTCTGTGGTTTTACCGACATTGACAGGCAGCTGACGTTGTGCCATTCACAATGACCCCAACCCTCCCACTGACTGCCAAGCTCAGCCAATCCCCAATACTATTTACATCTACATGAAACTGCTAGGAGAGATCTTTTAGTGGTCTGGAGTGAGATAATATCAACATGCCAATGACATGCATTGACTGGGGATCATAAACTAAAACACAAGCCATGTAAGATGGTGGTACTGTCGCTTAGGGTGTACAGTTGACCAGGAAAGTTAAGCTCACCTTGTTTTACCCTCCGCATTTAGGATCTGTTCTGCAGGTGGTCCTTTAGGATCCACCTATGCATATGGATACCCAAATGATGCTTGTGGCTCCAAGCAGCTTTAGCCGGTACGCAAGCTAGACCTTTCTAGACAAACATGATATTCCCACATTTATCTATGCCCAGGTTAGATTACTTTAAGACTTTTTGGAAGCCAAAAGGTTCACAATGTTACAGTGATGCTGTAAATTAGAATGAGGAGAACTGATTATTTATTTATTTATTATTGAATTTCTACCCCCCCCCCTCCCAGCCAGGGCGGCTTACATAAAATCAGCATATAGGTTACAATAAAATATAAGATATAAATTACAATTAAAACAATTCTAAGACCATTTAGACCATACATAGATCATATATCTCTATTGCTTAAAGATTTGCAGTTGTCACCGGTTTAGTTCCAGGCATAATTTAAACCTGGCTTGAACTAATGAGCCTTAAATGTTTGAGGTTCAGGGAATAATATGCTCTCCTGCCCATGCAGAAAACTGCCCAATAGTTAAGATCTTCTGTGAAGGCCGTGTTCTTGGCTGCCTTGTGTATGGAGATAAAATGTTCAGTTATCAGAGACAAGGCCTTCTCTGTGAGGGCACCCTGGCTGTAAAATCCCTTCCCCAGATTAATTCACCAAGTACAAGTACAAGTTACCATTTCACCAACTACTAGTGCAAGTACTTAGGGGAGGGGCTGTGACTCAGCAGAAGAGGCTCTGCTTTGCACACAGAAGATCCCACGTCCAGTCTCCAGCACCTCCAGTTTTAAAGGACCAGGCAGTATGTGATGTGAAAGCCCTATGCCTGAAACCCTGGAGAGCCACTGACAGTCTGAGTAAACAACATTGGCCTTGAGGGAACAATGCAGTATAAGACAACTTCATGTGTGTATATCTATGTACTGTTTGCTTATTTAAGAGGGAAGTAGGGTTGCCAGGTCTGGGTTGGAAAATACCTGGAGACTTTGGGGGTGGATCCAGGAGAGAGTGGGGTTTGGGGAGGGGAGGGGCCTCAGCATGGTACAATGCCATAGAGTACACCCTTCAAAGCAGCCATTTTCTCCAGGGGAGCTGATCTCTGTCAGCTGGAGATCAGTTGTAAAAGCAGGAGATCCCCAGGCCCCACCTGGAGGCTGGCAACGCGAGAGGGAAGGTAGCATGGGTATATAGCCTGATCTCTTCAGATCTCGGAAGCTAAGCAGGGTCAGTACTTGGAAGGGAGACACACAAGGAAGACTCTGCAGAAGAAGGCAATGATGACAAACCACCTCAGCTACTCACTTGCCTTAAAATCCCCTTGCTGGGGTCACCATAATCAGCTGTGACTTGACAGCACTTTACACACAAACACATATTTGTTTATTTAGAAAGTCCCTAATAGCATTCAGATAAAATGTTAAAATGTGGCTTTCTCTCTGGTATTTAGTGTAAATTCTGTAGGACCTATGCTGATTTTGTTTGGTGATTTATTCTGTGCATGAATTTTTGTAATAATCATATTATTGTTCTAATAGGGGTTTTTTTAATACACACTTTGAAAACCTGATGAGATAAAACTATTATAATAAAGGTAGTCATCCTAACTAACACCTTCCAAATTAAATGTCAGTGTCACAGAAAGATAGTAAATAATGGTTCAAAAACTTTGATGTAACAGTAGACCAATAAATGAAAGCGAAATTTTGCATTTCTCCTCAGCAAGGTAACACAGATTCTACAGGATGTGTGCAGCTAAAAATACTCGTGTTTATACAGCTCACAGATTCTTTTTTCATGGAACTCAAG